TTGCATCCTATCAAGCGCCTTGTTCAGCCTGTGATTTATTGGTGTATTCTCCAGTTTCTATCAGGCCAAAGAAACATTTAAAAAGGAACTGAAGATTGAAGGATTTCTGTACAGTGACTTATCCATACTAGCTTCTGATACCCCATATTTTCCACCAGAGGAAGAGGAAGAAAATTTGGAAGATGGGATTCACCTAGTCATCTGTGTTCATGGGCTAGATGGTAAGGCCAAACCCCCCCCCACACACATCATCCATATATGTATGTATGTATACACACACACATATATGGTTTGCCATTGCCTCATTCCTAGGGCAGAGAGAGGGGGAGGGAGGGAGAGGGAGGGAGGGATGGAGGGAGGGGGAAAGAGAGAAAGAGAGAGGGAGGGAGAGGGAAAGAGAAAGAGAGAGAGGGAGAGGGGGGGAGGAAGGGAGAGAGGGATGGAGGGGGAAAGAGAAAGAGAGAGGGAGAGAGGAGTGAGGGGGAAAGAGAGAAGGAGAGAGAGGGAGAGAGAGAGAGAGAGAGAGAGAGAGAGAGAGAGAGAGAGAGAGAGAGAGAGAGAGAGATATTGATTTATACATTCACACTGCTCCCCTCCCAAATCCATTGTTTCTACTGGGTCACATCAGCCATGCTGGAGTCAGGCAGAAGGTCAGGACCATATGTTAAGTTGCAGCTCAGACAATTTATTACTCAAGCCTATACACAAGAATGTAGTCAAGTAAAGTTCAGTATTAAACTGGCACCAGATAAGGGTCAATGGGATTATATTTAGACCATTTATGGGAACATAGCGACTCTAAACTGATGACTCATTTAACTCCACCCTTCCCAACTCTGCCTGTTCTTCTCTCATATCTGGTCTGCAGTTTTCTTGGCATGGTTTTCTAGTGGTTTGCCATTGCCTCATTCCTAGGGGAGAGAGAGAGGGGGGAAGGGAGGGATGGAGGGAGGGGGGGAAGAGAGAAAGTGAGAGAGGGAGAGAGGGAGGGAGGGAGGGGGAAAGAGAGAGAGAGAGAGAGAGAGAGGGAGGGAGGGAGGGAGAGACTAGCCCAAGTTCACCCACCTGGCTTTAATATTTAAGACAGGACTAAAATTCCCATTCTACTAGTTTCTAGCTTGCTGCCTTAACCACTATACCAGACTGCCTGTTCATTTTCTTCATTCATGTGAACTATTGGATATCAATAGAGCAGCCTATTATTCATCCTGCATTGCAAAAGAAGGACTCCAATCTTGACTACGTAGAGGGACATATAGGTGTATCCAAAGGGTACCTGGATCAAAATATTTACTTTTGGTTTTTCCAGGTAACAGTGCAGATCTTCGGCTGGTAAAAACGTTCATCGAATTGGGTCTCCCTGGAGGAAAACTTGACTTCCTAATGTCAGAAAGGAACCAGGTATTTGATTCATTCTTTAGCTCTTTTAAAACTTGATGTCTACATTTCCATCTTATAAAGAAGATGTTTGGTGAAAAGTGACATTGAATGGACATTGCCACAAAGGTCACAAATTACTTTTGCAATATATATATATAT